TGATGAGAACTTCTTCAAGGGGATCTCATACTCTATAGTCTTATGTGAAGATCTGTTGTACGCATGTACAGCAGCGTCAACTGCCAACTCCCACATACTCTTTGGTAATCCCGAGTCGAACATATATGTACTTACTTTCTCTTGCAACGTTCTGTTGAACCTTTCTGCAACTCCATTATGCTCCGGAGTGTACGGTGGCGCAAATATGGCTTCTATCTTTTCTCTTGTTAATATCTCTTTGAAAGCACCTCCCGTGAATTCCTTGCCTTGATCTGATTTTACGTAGCATAGCTTTTCTTCTTTTCCTAGTAGATTTCTGGCAGATATTAGATATTTCTCTAGAGCCTCTCCCGATTCATCTTTTGTCTTCAAAGAGTAGGCTTTCGCTAATCTAGAATAATCGTCTATAAAGGTTATTATAAACCTCTTTCGTCCTGGATAAGATGTAGGTTTTATTGGACCCATGATATCCGTATGTATCACCTGTAGTGGTCTCTGTGCTCTATTTCTGTTTTCTTTAAACGGCAGTTTTGCCATCTTTGCCATTATACATACTTCACACTCTAATATGGAGTTATCAAACTTCACATTTTCTAATCTCTTTTCTACTTTTTGTAATTGTTTTAGATAGTTTAACGATGCATGACCTAATCTAACATGCCATAACATCGCCTCATTTATTTTCTCTAGTTTCTTTACTTTTTCAATTACTGAGCTTTCACACATTTCTTCTATATTCTCTAATGTTTGTATATCCTCTAACTTAATGACTTGATCGAGTTCAGCATTATTGTATTCTATATTTTCGTTTTCGTTCACATTTGTGAGCTCTCCTTCATTCTCCCTCCCAATCGCAGAGCCAACATTATCCCTCTCATCTAACTCTCCCTCCGAAATTGATAATTTACTGGTCTGAATGTTTGCTTGCGATTGTTCAGGAAACTCACAATGTGGAACAATTTTTGCTCTACATCTATACACAGCACATTCTACATTATCATTATCCTCTATATTATTATTTTTGACCTCAAATTGTATAATCCAATTTGGTTTCTCATAAATTCCTTCAAAAACTATTTTATTTGTCAGTTTATTATAGACTTTGAACAATTTATCATCTAAATAAATACTGAACCCTGCATCAGCCAGCTTTCTTAGAGATAGTAAATTTTCGGATACTTCCTTCGTTGCAATTACATTTGTTAATTTAATTACTTTCTTTTCTTTCTCATTTGTCAACAACAAAAGATCTCCTTTACCATCTATTGAAATGTCTGCAAGCTCATTCTTATTCGCGCATTTAATAACTCTATTATTACATTTTTCAAAGTTTGACAGAATTATATTCTTATTCACAATGTGATCTGTTGCACCCGAATCTACAATAAAATTGACTAATTCTTTTGAACTATCTCTATCTTCTATCACTTTAGCCATGCATAATTTACCTTTTTTTGGTTTTCCTTCAATTGCTGTTTGCGATGGTATAGTTTTCTTGGCTAGTTGTATTTTGGTTACTTTCCCTTTATTATCTACTCTTTTTGTACCTTTTTGTGCAAATCTACCCTTTTTCTTTATATTTTTATTAACGGTTTTATTTGTATACCTTTTTCCTCTAAATTTGTTCGCCTGGGCTCCGGCATTAGGACAGCTGTCACCTTTATGGCCTCTAACTTCCTGGCAATAGTAACAGAACCAGGCCCCTAGTTCTGCTAACGGGCAGTCTTTTGCCATGTAGCCCATCTTGTTGCATCTGTAGCACTTTATTTCATCTGCGGTAGCCCTCTGCACTCTTATTTCGGGTTTCTCTGTTTTCTCTAATTTCTTGCTTTTCTTTTCTGTCTCTTAAGCCTGATCTACAATGTGCTCTTTGCTTCCTGTTTTTTGCTCTTAACCTGTTTGCGACTATCCCGTATTTCGCAATTGCGTCGCGTAACGCGATGTTTTTTGTTCTCTGTCGCTTAAGATAAAAATTGACGAACTTTAGAAGAGACAAGAAACATCACGTTACGCGACGGAATTGCGAAATACGAGATAGTCGCAAAGAGGTTAAGAGCAAAAAACAGAAAGCAAAGAGCACATTGTAGATCAGCCTTAACTGCATCATAAAAGATTTTATTTCATCTATCGTCATTTCTTTAAGATTCAATTGTCTTTTAATCAAATCTACATTTCTCAGCTCTGGTACATTAATTGACACAGCTTGATACAATGCAGATCTCATTTCTTGTTCTGTGAAAAGTACCGCATCTTCACATGATTCATATTCTCTAATTATCGAATCAAAGCGTTCGCAAAAATCACTTACTTTTTCATCTTTTCTCATTTTAATTTGATAAAGTCTAGCTCGTACCGATGTATGAGTAACATTTATTTCACTTTTTTTATATCCTTTTAGTTTCTTTAAAATTTCTTTCGGATCTTTTTCATGTAGAATCCTTTTATGATAGTTTTCATCTAAATGATTGATTATTATATCTCTAACTAGACCTTTTCTTTTAACAATTTTTGACTCGGAAAGATTTTCAGGACTTTCAATACTTGAATCTATTACATCTAATAAATCATTGTTCGTTAATTCAGATTTCAAATAATCCATCCAAAGATCAAAATTGTATTTTTGCGTCAGCTTGTATTCTCTTCTAATATGCAACCTTTGATTGTTTAATTCTGCCTCTATAGTGCTTTTAATTGTCTCTAAACTTCTATCTTTTCCGGCGGAACAAATTCTTGCTTCATCTAATTTTCTCTTTTTAGACTCTACTTCTAATTCTTTAACCGTTGTTATATCATTCTGTACTGAACTTTGGGTATCTTTATTGCTTACCTCTAAACGTCTAAGTTTAACTTTTTCTTTCTCTAAGTTTAAACGGGAGACTTCCACCATATTCTCCATCATCTCGGTGGCCTTCGTTATTACTTTGTCCAGCATCTGCATCGAATTGTCCATTTTTGCGACCAATTTTTCTTGCTTTTCATATAATATTTTGGTTCCAATTGGCAGTACTGGACGGTTCTCTTCCCATGCTTTGGTCACATCTATATTCTCTCTGACTTTAGGCAAGCTCTTTTTCGGGATTGCACCTCTTCTTTCCGTCTCCTCCTTTTTATCTTTTGCTTCTATACGGAATTTTGAAATTACTATTTTATTTTCTCTGAATGCATATATATATTATTCTTCTAGACTACTTTATTTTCAAAAAAATACTCTCTTACCTCTATCTTTTCTTACTGTCTCCTCGCCATTTCTTTCTCTTTCTATTACCGTGACAATGCTGCTATCGCTGTCGTAGTTGACCAGCGCATCTTGGCCTTCTTTCTCCACCGAAAGATTTTCTGTCTCTTCTTCCATCTATATCGGGATTTAAATATCAATTGAATATTAGCATTCCTCTTTTGACAAGATAAGCCAACATTCTTATCGACATTTAATAATTTAATTTCTATCACCAAATTTCTTTCAGCGATAAAATAAAAACACAATGCTTATGAGGCTATATAGAACGCACTGCAATTCACAACAACCCCAAAGCGAGAAACCACGCGCCTCTGCAGGGCTATCCGTACGCGCACACCACTCTCCGTTGCGATCCCCAGCACTGCTGAAAAGATCTATGGGAGCTCGGGTTGATCACGCACGCGCACGGGGCCCATACAAATTTACGCGGCCTCCCTGTACAGTAATCAAGCTACACCGCACAGCTAGTCATGCTCAATTACCGACCCGATACATATCGATTTCAAAAAAAATAAACTCATATAGAGTCATATAGAGTTTTTATACATATACGCATACACATACATATACATGTATCGCAATCTAGCCATCTAGCATACGCATACATTTACATGTATCGTAATCTAGCCATCTAACATACGCATACATTTACATGTATCGTAATCTAGCCATCTAGCATCGATGAAATGTTGTTAGTCAAAATTGATTATGTGTTTGTGCGCGCCCAGCAACAAGTTCTGCGCGCCAAAAACAATGACTCTCGCCGTTCAAGATCGGACTTCCGCGCGCCAAAAACAATGACTCTCGCCGTCTACGATCGGACTTTCGCGCGCCAAAAACATTGACTCTCGCCGTTCACGCTCGGACTTGCACGCGACTTGCTACCAAGCGGCATCTTTCTATCTCTTTCTATTGTACATTTTCTCTTTTAATTTTCATCTTTCTCTACTTCTATCAAGAGGCAAAAAGAGTTTGTTTCCTTCTAACTTCGGTAAATGTTTAGTATAACGCTCTCCCTTTCGATTTTCTTACAACTTTGTAAAATTGTTTATTTCTGTGTGTAAAAAACATTTTGAGAAGGAAAATCGTCGCTCAGGTCTTGTTTTTTTTTAAATTTAATTTCAAAGTTTTGATGTCGGTAAGGTAGGAAAATGATAATTTACGTTTTTTAAATACTGCGCAACTTTATTTGTTACTATATTCACAAATTAAGTTGTCCGCATACTCATTAACGGTGCCATTTAGGTTAAAATTTTATGGTTGTGAAATACTGTACGTGGCCAAAATTGATAAATTGATAAATTGATAAATTGTGATTTTCGTTAAAGCACTGCACACACACACACACACGTGTGTATGCCCTGCTTTATAGAAGTTGTGATTTTTGTTAAAGCAGGGCACACACACACGTGTGTATGTCCTGCTTTATAGAAGTTGTGATTTTCGTTAAAGCAGGGCACAAACACACGTGAGTATGCCCTGCTTTATAGAAGTTGTGATTTTCGTTAAAGCAGGGTACAAACACACGTGTGTATCCCCTGCTTTATAGAAGTTGTGATTTTCGTTAAAGCAGGGCACACACACACGTGTGTATGTCCTACTTTATAGAAGTTGTGATTTTCGTTAAAACGGCACAAACACACGTGTGTATCCACTGCTTTATAAAAGTTATGATTTTCGCTCGGATTTTCGTTAAAGCAGGGCACACACATGTTTTAAGCAGATATTTTGTATTTAATTAGCAGACAGTTGTCACGTGACCTTCAAATAAAGTTGCGCAGTACTTTAAAAACGTAAATTATCATTTTCCTACCTTACCGACATCAAAACTTTGAAATTAAATTTTAAAAAAACGAGACCTGAGCGACGATTTTCCTTCTCAGAATGTTTTTTACACACAAAAATAAACAATTTTACAAAGTTTTAAGAAAATCGGAGAGGAGAGCGTTATACTAAACATTTACCCTAACTTCTAACAGCGTTTCTCGAACGTTCTTATTAGCTGGGAATCTCTACTTCTATATTATACTTTATCTCTATCTCTCAAAAGACAAAAAGAATTTGTCTCCTTCTAACTTCTAACGGCATTCAACGAACGTTCTTATTAGCTGAGAATTCTCTCGTTTTGCTCGTCAGCAACGAGGAATATTATTTACTTACCCTCTAATCTTCTAATGCTCTCTTTTTGATGTCCTTCGCCGGCGTCTCACGAACTTTTCGTCCACTTATTCACGCGTCTTGCAGATCTTCCGCAGGACAAGCGTGCCCTGGGCCCATAACCTGTTGTAATAATATCGCGTGGAACGATACGCGAGATGCGTAGAGATGGACAGGACACTTATCGTACAAGTTCTTTTCACAATAGGAACTCT